CATAAGCTTTTCTTTTTTTCTTTTTTTCTTTTTTCTTTTTCCATTAATAACCCATCAGCTGAGTATCAAAAAGTGTCAAAAATTGAAAACTTCATCTCTCCCACCTCAAAATATTCTGATTTTTATGATAAAAATTGTAAGTCAAAAATATTATCCTATATTATAATGGTATCGATTAGGGTTCGAACTCGGACTTAGGAGTGTGGTGGTATAAACCTAATAATGATTGTATAGTTCCTATATTAGTATATGTCTTTCGAATTAAAACATCGTATTAAACGTGATCTGATATTAAGACATGTCTTTGTGAATTATACTTGCATAGGAAATTTTTATGTATATTATATTTTGTATTATTTCCTTGTGAGCTTACAAAGCTCATGAATGTTAGAAAAGAGGAATAGATATAGGATTGGAATGTATGAATTTCATCTTAAATTATTTGATTTGATAATCATAAATTTTAAAGAAAACATCCCGATATATTTATAATATTTAGCGCAATGGTAAATTATTTTTTTGTCACTATTTCATCAAGACATAGCTATCAAATACATTATTCATCACACACAATGAACCATTGGTGATTCCTATTCACAGACAGAGCTTAATCAATAAATATCAAATATCAATAAATTTTCCTTTCAGAAAAAAGCAAATATTTACATAATAATAAATGTATTTTCCTTTAAAAAATGAATATATTTGATGGTTTCTATCCACAAATACATGTTTCTATCTTGTAAGTACATGATAAACTCTTGAGATGGAAGTGACTCCCTCTTCTTGTTTATAGGGAGTTGCAGCCTTCTCTCTTCCCTTTGCTGTCACCTGCACTGAATTTTTTCTTTAACCATACAATTCATGGTAATCCTCTCACACTTGACACAAACTACTGGAAAGGGAAAGGAACAAAAAATGTTTGTTCCTCCATAAAAGGGCACAACATCCATGATGTTTCGCGAGGTCCGAACCGGATCCAACTGGAGAGATCCTTTTTACGGAGACAACAAAACTGAAAACCTCCGATGATTTTGATCCCATCTCGCCCACCAAAGAGTGAGACTTGTGATGAACACCATGAAGGAGAAGCTAGTGCACAGGGAAGACAGTTAAAGAAGGTTAAAAGGGAAGAGAAGATGAGTGAGTTCGTAGGTAGGTTTGCCAAGGGATTTATAGAGAGTCCAATTCACCATCCATATTCGTCTTTCAATTTTTTTGGGTAATATCTTTGATCTTTCATTAAATGCTTTCTCCATATAATGATTTGTGAATTCATGGCCGACGTTAATCTTTTCCATATGAATGATTGATAAGACAATTAAAGGAGAAAAAAAGACAAAGATTCATGTATCTTTATTTTGTGTGCCAAGGATGAAACTTCATGACCCATATGAATCCTTTTCCCCCAATAAAGGTAAATAATTAGGGTTAGGCATCAAATGCAAGATGGCAAGTTCATGCACTTCCTTGCATCCCTACCTAAGAAAATGGTTCATGAATCTTTGTTGTGCCAATTTGGGAAGGTTTTGTAGTCCACTTTCTTGAAATCTATTCTCATTAGATATCTCAGCAGATACGCTATATTTTTTATGTTGACCTTTTTTTAATCTTTTGATCATGTATCCCCTTTGCATATAATTTATAAATAAAATTTTAAGTATTAAATAATAAACTAACACTTAGTCGACCTGAGTTCTAACAAACCGAGTTGGCGATCCGAGGCTGGCTTAATCGGATCCATGTCATGTTTAAGAATGACTACTTTGGTTAGGTCGGACAATTTATCGAATAATCGTAAACTTTCTTGAACTTAAATATAGATATTCATTCTTCAACAATCCCTTTTGATCAATCTTTCTCCTCTTCAATCATCCGTTAGATTCTTACGATATATATACATAAATAATCTTAACTTTGTCTAAATTTGCATTCGTCTTAGATGAATATAGTTATATAATCCAACATATTTTTTAACTATCCTCCATACGTTGTTATTACATTGTTACACAAAGTGATAGGTCTCAAGTTCGAGTTCATGTGTAAGCGTTTAAGTACACCCGATAAAAATATATTTTAATTTTCGAAAAGATATTAGTTATCACAATAAAGTTGTCTAAACAAATTGTAATATATTTCCTATGGCTCATACATCTACATTACAAGTGATTTGAATTATTATTAATAGAAAACTCTTAGTAAATCATAATATCAACAAATAATAAATCCCTTTTTTGCTGATGAAACAAAAGCAAACTCAATTTTTATATATCTATCCAACACTCGATTATGAGTTGAAACAAAAGCAAACTCAATTTTTTGGGTGAAACAAATTTTGCTGATGAAACACCTATGAAAAACTCCTCCTTAACTTTGGTCGAGTCTATTGTTTGTATTGAAGAATAAAATCTTTCTTTCTATCATTCACAAAGATAATCACTATATGATTCTGGTTTTCTATATGTTAAAAATATGAATCAAGATGATGTCTCATCTGCAAGCTTAAGCTGTTAGATGGTATTAGAACAAAAGGATTTTGAGCTGAAATCTTTTTCAGGTTGTGCTTATAGAAAAGAAAAACTGCATAAAGAAAAAATTCAGCAACATTAATGAATTAATTTGGTAGGAATCAGATGATCTCACTATAGAGCAATAGAACCATCCGTAGAGATTCTCTAGTTTTCGAGAAACACATGCATGCACTGTTCGTGAACCGCTGCGATCAATAGAGAAGGTGACATGAATGAGAAGCAGTCAATACTAATAATATTACACGTTTCAATGTCAAAGCTGAGCGAATACTAATAGATTTGCTTTTGTTCCATGCGAGCAAGCATATGATATCATCAAGCAAGCAAGCGAGCAAGCGAACACACACACACAGCATGTGATGATGAGGACCGAGAATTGATTAGCATGGGTTTCTTATCTGCCGCGAGCGGGAGCTCGTCCGTCGACACGCCTCCACCAGCGCCTCCCTGGCCGACACCAAACCCTTGGGAACGAGAGGCCTGTCGAACACCGAGCTGTCGATCCAATCCTTTAGTCGATTCTCCTGCCCCCATGTCTCCGGTATCCACACCCGCCCCGCCATCTCCATCCTGTGCCTCTTAAGCCTCTCCCGCCCGCTTTCCTCGGCCGCGTGGGCTCCGACGCGCTCCATCGCGACCTCCGTCGAGCACGCCGCGCGCTCTTCGCGAGTGCTTTTCTTCGAGCATGCATCGACGAGCTCTTCCGAGCTCTTGGCTGGTGGATCCTCCGAAGATGATGACGGCACCAGCTCGACGCGGACTCCCGGTCCCCGATTCGCGGGGGCAATGACTATTGCGGATCCGGGATGCAGCTCCATCGAAGGGGCTGCTGCTTCTTCTTCTTCTTCTTCTTCTTCTTATGGCGTACGAGGGTTGGGGGAAGCTAAAAAGATCAAAGGGGAGGGGGTGGTGGAAGAACTAGTGGTGCAGTTGGAGGACACACAGCAAGGGGGGGGAGGGGAGATCAGGTGGGTGTCGCCGAGGAGAACACGTTGTGAGATTGGCTTCATATGGCGGAAGCAAAGTTTACGTGTCCGTTTTATGCCTTCACCTCCGGAGTGGAAGGAAGGATGAGAGGCCGCTGCTGACTTGCGCACGCACAGTGGGAGCCAATTGGAGTTGATATTTTGTGGGGATTCCCACATCAGAATTAAAGGTTGATGTGCGTTGAGACCACGACACATTCAACTTAGGTGTGCCTACCACATTTGTACCACCCGCTCCACTTTTTGTCACTAATCTCTTAGGCAATATAATTTTCTTTTTTCCTTTTCAACGTAATTAATATGTATGGTAAATTTTCATAATCATGATTAAATAATTATTTATTTATTTAATTAGCTTGCTAGCTCAAATTTTTTTTTTTGTTTCTTGAAAATAATGATCGCATCGCTATTGAGTTCCATAATCTAGTTTCTATCGAGTTTGAGTTTTGAGTCGTGCGTGGATCGAGTCAATTGAATCTCGTGAACCTCGCAAAGGAGGTTTTCTTTTCCATATTTCTGTTGAATTATTTATATATAGTGGTAAATTTTCTTTAAAACCTAAGGTTTTTTTTTCTTTCTACTATAGCATATTTTTGCTTTATGTGTGCAAATCACTCTTATTTTCTGAAAGATAAGTTACCCTTAGCATTCGTCCATAGTCACCTTTGCACCTTGCTATCATCGACTTCCTATATCTCAGTGCGATTTTTGTTGTCGTTCTCGTTACCTCTGCAATGAGAGCCCATCGTAAGACTTTTGTCGTTGTCTTCATTGCCACAACAACAAGAGCTCATAGCCCATCGTGAGGTCACGTTACCTCCTGTCCTTCACATGACCACCATGTCTGTCCACGAGACCCCTCTGCATAGAAGCTATGGTAGCACGAGAGGGGACGAGGCATGGTTTTTATCTTCTCGTCACCGTCTATGATGGCCACAACTTCACTCTTACTTTTCCATTGCTTCCACCCATCCTACTCTCTTCAGACGCCCCAACCTCGTGCCGAGGATGAAGTCGAGGTTCAGAACCTTGCACAAGGGTGGAGGTGATGAAGCCTCACGGCGGACGCTCGCTACGAAGATGATGAGGATAACGAGAGCCTCATGATAATGAAGATGGCTCTTAGCACAACACAACATAACTAACAATAAGTGGTCACAAAGGGTGGAGGCAACCTTAATGGGACGAAAACGACCATATAGTGGAGGCAAAAGATAATCTGTCTTTAAAAAATAAAAGATACTACATGAGAATTAAAAAAAAAACACTTTTGCGGAAAAATAAAAATTGCCAAACTGCTGGCTTCCCACTATGGATTTACAGATTTGACACTCCATGCAACTACAGTTTCGATTTACAGAGTTGACAGCAATAAGTACAGAATAATTAACAAAAAAAAATGCACCAATCCGTTCAAGATGGACCAATGCTGAATAAATAAATTGTCAAACTGCTGCCTTCCCACAGTTGCAAACATTATAACATTCATGAAAGAAAGAGAGAGAGAGAGAGAGAGAGAGAGAGAGAGAGAGAGAGAGAATAATATA